AAGTTGTGCCCAAAGCTGTCGCCCGAAAGCTGCGATTCTGCAAACCTGTTTACCAAAACGTCTCCCCAAAGCCATTCTGCAAAGCGGCTCCCGAAAGCTGCGCCCCAAAGTCGCTAAGCCTGCCCCCGAAAGTTGTTTCCGAAAGCGGCTTCTAAAAGCTGCTTTCTAAAGCTACTCCCCAAAGCTGTCGTTCTTCAAAGAAACTGTCCGTCAATGCTGCTGCAATGCCGCAAAGTTGCTCCCCACAGTTGCTCCCCAACTTCCGAAAGCTGTTCTCCAAAGCACCTCTGCAAAGCGGTTGCCCCAAAGCGGCTATGCTTCAAACCTGTTCCCCAAAGCTAGTCTCCAAAGCGACTCCCGAAAGCTGCTCCCCAAAGTTGCTCCCCAAAGCTGCGGTTCTTCAAAGCTGCCGTGCAAAGCTGCTCCTCAAAGCTTTCCCCTGCGCTGCTCCACAAAGTTGTGCCCAAAGCTGTTCTCCAAAGCTGTTGCCCCAAAGCTGCGGAAAGCTGCTCGCCAAAGTTGCTGCTGCCCGAAGCTGCCAGCTGGTCTAGAAAGCTGTCCAAAGTTGCTCCCCAAAGCTACTACCCAAAGCTGTTCCCCGGCGCTGCTCCCCAAAGTTGTGCCCCAAAGCTGTTCTCCAAAGCTGTTGCCCTAAAGCTGCGATTCTGCAAACCTGTTCACCAAAACGGCTCCCCAAAGCCATTCTGCAAAGCGGCTCCCGAAAGCTGCGCCTCAAAGTTGCTACCAGAAGCTGCTGTCCAAAAAAGCTATTGCCCCAAAGCTGCAACCTTGCAAACCTATACACCAAAACGGCTCCCCAAAGCTATTCTGCAAAGCGGCTCCCGAAAGCTGCTCCCGAAAGTTGCCACTGAAAGCTGCTCCCCGAAGTTGTTTGTAAAGCTGCCCCCGAAAGATGCTGTTCTTCAAAGCAATTGTTCCTGGGACAGCTTGCCAAAGCTGCTGTCCAAAGCTATTGCCCGAAAGCTGCGATTCTTCAAATATATACCCTAAAACGACTCCCCAAAGCTATTCTGCAAAGCGGCTCCCGAAAGCTGCTCCCGAAAGTTGCTACTGAAAGCTGCTCCCCGAAGTGGTTTGTATACAGGCAGATCGTAATATTAGTAGTAATAAATTGAGAACATGCCGTTATAAATTGCGGCTTGCAATTCTTGGGGCGCAACAGTGAACAGCCATGCGGTCTACACTGAGGACACCGCCGCAGGTTAACATGACTAAATGTGTAGACTGGTTTGGTTGTGTGACTCCATTCCGCTAGCTTGGCGACACTATATCAGCGGCCTTTTTCCAATGCAAAGTCAGCGGCACCAAAAAGACACTCGTACCCATGACCAGCAAGCTTGAAAAATGAGTGGGCCCTATAGTGAATTCAAGAGAGCGACAGTCGCATGCGGTAAATACAAAATAACGGAAACGCAAAACGAAAGTTCCCAAAGTTTGTATTCGTGAAAAGTCCCAAAATTGTGGCCGATTTTTGGGAAAATTCGGCTGGGGGTGAAAGTCCCAAAGTAGTGGCAAATGTTTGGGAAAATTGGGCTCGGGGTTAAAGTGCCAAAATTGTGGCGAACTCCGCGCGCGCGCCAAATTCAGGAGATTCATGCTCAAACACAACTGAAAGACCTACCGAGCGACACTGGACCAGGGGGGAATCGAACCCCCGACCGACCCTAACCGACCGTACTGCATTTGCTTAGTGGGACACTGACTGGGGAGAAGAGAAATTTCCCCAAAAAAGTGATACTTTTTTGGGAAAATCATTTAGTAGTAAAATCTCGGCCTCCGAGCAGCGGGCTCAGCAAGCACAGGCTTAGTTTGTATTCGCGCAAACTAAATTTATATCCGCCAATTTTCCCAAAAAAGTAGCAAATTTTTGGGAAAATTAGCCTTAGGAAACTACGCGCGAGCGCTCTTTGTAAGGCTAAATCGTAATATTAGTAGTAATATATATATATATATATATAATATTTTTTTCTTATATATCGATTTTTTATCAACAAAAATAAATATATTTAAAAATAGTAAATATTTAAATCTAAAAAAATAAAATAAATATATTAAGATTTATTTTCCCAATTTTATATTTAAATTCATTATTTACATATATATATATATATATATAAATAATATTTAGCTAAATATTTTCGTAATTTTTACCATATAATAAAAACCAAAAAAATCAATATTTATAAAACCGCCAAAATATTTTCCATAAATATATTAAAATATACGACGCCGTGCCTATCACACAAATCAACCGCAATATCCAAATTCATCCGTATAATTCGGAAACAAAATTACAAGCATCGTATTAACCGCTAAAATAACCGCTCTTTCGGTTAGAATAAGCAACCCAAAGAAATAGGAAATATCGTGCCTGTTAAATAGAAAAGGTACGCCATCCAAAATATCTTGGCCTCGAGAATAATACCGAGCCATTTAATAAGGTAAGAAGCACCGGCCCTGCCGCGCGAAATAGCTGCTACATCTTTCCGATTCGGCGGCGGTATAAAGGATTAGATCCCGCCAACCAGCCGCCGCCTCGAATAACAAAAGCATATGTAATCTCGCGCCTACCGAACAAAACAATCGCGGCGTCTAAAACGCTACTTTTGCTCCGAAGCTAGAATCAAACCAAGAAGCGCCGCGCCTGCCAATGGGAAACAGATACAGCGTTAAAATCATAATTTTTTCGCCCTTCCTTTTCCGTCATCCGCCCTCTGTCCTCATCCCCTGTCCTCCATCCTCCGTCTTTTGCCCTCCGTCCTCTGTCCCCCATCCTCCGCCCTCTGTCTGCCGTCCGTCCTCCATCCTCCATCCTCCGCCCTCTGTCTGCCGTCCTCCGTCCTCCATCCTTCATTCTCCTTCGTTCTCCTTCTTCTTCTTCTTCGTCTTCTTCTTCTTCTTCTATCTTCTGTCCTGATCGTCTTCCGGCCTCCGTGCTCCGTCGGCCGCCCTCCGTCCTGCCTCCTCCGTCCTCTGTACTCCGTCGTCCGTCCTGCGTCCCCCCCGTCCTTTAACTTCCATCATCTTCCGTCCATATCCGTCATCCATCTCCTCGCCGCCCTCCGTCCTCTGAGAGCACATATGCAATACCATATGCCATAGCCTAAGCAATCACGCTGTCTCACAGGGGTCGGGATTTTTTTGAAAACGAGAAAATGAAAAAAATGTATTCCAATTATACCCATCTATTTTGGAACCGCACAAAGCTGCTTTTCATTTTCTCTGAACCGCTTAGGTGTCCTTGTTGCTTCCCTCTCCTTCTGATGCCAGGACCTTTTCAGGTTGCTGCATTTCCTTCCCCTTTCAGGGTTTCCTTTCTTTTTTACTCTTCGTTTGTTGCTGTGCTTGCTTTTCCCTCCGCTTTGTTGCGCATGCTGACGTCCAATGTCAAACATGAAGACTGGCACAGCTGGTGGAACATATTCTATATGCATTGCTTTTGGCGCTTTCCAATATGCATTGTTTTAAGCTCTTTTCAAACAGGAACCGGGGCAACAAGAAAGGCGCTATCAATCAGCCTCAGTGGATTCACGTTCCGCTCGTATTTTTTTTTGAGGTTAGTTTCCTATCTGTATTGTCGCTTCTTTGTTGCCGCAAATTACCCTGTTTGCTCCCTTCCAGGTTGGATTGAATGTCTTCATGTCCTTCGTCATGTGTATATTTTTGTTGCTTTATGTTCAGGCGTCACTTCCCAGTCCTTCGGGTTCCCCTCAACTTTTTTTGCGCGTGCTTGCGTGGCACGGGACATGTGAAGCTGAGCGCAATATTCTTTGTGCATTGCTTCAGGCCCTGTTCAGGAAGGAGCGGTAGCCAAAAAAAGGCGCTCGCAATCTCAGTGAATTCATGTTACGCTCCTTTCATCTGATTGTTTCTTGTTTGTTGTCTTTCTTTCGGCACCGTTTTAAGTCCTGTTGATTTCCATGTCAAAATGAAGTGAACTTAATCTCTTTCTCTCTCTCTCTCTCTCTCATGCCCGTGCTTTTCACATTCTTTGAACCGCTTCGGTGTCCTTGTCGCTTCCCTGTCCTTCTGATTCCTGTTCGTATCTTTTCATTTCCAGGACCTTTTCAGGTTGCTGCATTTCCTTCCCCTTTCAATTTTTCCTTTCGTTTTTACTCTTCGTTTGTTGCTGTCCTTGCTTTTCCCTCCGCTTTGTTGTGCATGCTGGCGTCCAAAGTCAAACATGAAGATTGGCACAGCTGGTGGAACATATTCTATGTGCATTTTTTAGAAGAAATCGGGGGCAAAAAGAAAGGCGCTATCAATCAGCCTCAGTAGGTTCACATTCCGCTCTTAAATGTGGTTTTGAGGTTAGTTTTCTATCTCTATTGTTGCTTCTTTGTTGCCGCGTTTATGCTGTCTGCCGAAGCACAGAGACTAATCCCGAGGACGCATGAGGAGGGAAAAGAGCCCTGGCCAACGATTTGCCTGGATAATCTAAGCATGTTGATCAGGTAGCATATTTCTATTTGCATGTAGATTTAAATGTGAATACAATATATAATTTATTTAGCTATTTATCCGTATTCTGTGGAAGAATTCCGGGAATTACTTTTTGTGTAAAAAATTTCCACATTCTAAGTAGCACCCCTGTTATTCTATATGCTGGCAGTTTACTACAACATAATATGCAAGCCGAAAATCGTTTAGAATAATTGCCTTTTAAATCAGTTTTTTGTTTCAAAAAGCTGTGCACAAATTAATTATATTTTGAACTTCTCAAAATAGAATTAATCAAAGCGTCTAAAGTTAAAGCTTAAGCGAAATATAGACAAGTTAGTGGCCCATAGTTTTGATTGTTGCAAAATTAACAGGTCAGGCATTACCATGCATTGAAGCCTAGAACCTTCGCACCTTTTTCATCCCTCTCCTACTACTTGCCAGGTTGCCCGTCGAGCTGCAACTTAATTGCATCCTTAAATACGCGTAGCGTATTTCAACTGAACCCGGATGGTGCCGGTCAAGGGATGTACATCAATGCTTTGGGTGCTCCGGGGCATCCGTCATTCAGGTTGCAGCTGGGCTGGGCCCTCTGGCCTCTGCAAAGACCAAATTCACGCAGCAATCAGCAGGCATATGTTGCATTCGCTTGCCCAAAAATGCTTGAAAGCAGCCCCCATGTTTGGGAACTACTATTTGCCTTGCCGGGCAGGGATTAAGGCTACCCAAGACAAACGGTACTTGGCTTTATCTGAAGGCAGCTACAAACGTCAGCATTTGGTTTGGAACGGGGTCACACGCGTCTTCGACGCGTGTGCCCACTCTGGGAATACCTGGCTTCGGCCAGAATTGGGAACACTATAGTTCTAAATCATGTTTAAATTTATTCCGCTCCTGTCGATTCACTGTGCTGTGTGCCTTCATGTGGCGGCTGCTACGAATCAAGATTGCCAAAGGGCTGAAACAAAAGCAACTGGTTGGAAAATCAGGCGCTTGCAAGACTTTATGTCTTGAGCCAGGCAAGATTGGGAAACTTTTTTAGGCTAGGATGTTGGGGGTTGGAAACTGCGCTCCATCGTGCATATGACGCGCCCATATAAGATCTTGCGGATTACGCCACTGCATCTAGATTGGCACACAGCATCAGGAAGCATCCTACCCGCGTAGGCATCATCCATTCAAAGAGAAATTGGCTTCTTTTTTTGGCCTGAATCCAAGCCGCAAAGATTCGCCAAACGATCTTGCGGAATAAGCTCCTGCCAGAACCGGCTGCTGTTGAAGGCCCCAAATCGGACCGTGGCGGAATTCATGTCGCCGCTGATATGGGGGCAACCTGCTTCGCTCTTTCGCATGCGTTGGGAAACAGCTGGGGCTGCAAAAACCCTTCGATTCGCAAGCATATTCAAACTGTTAGGCTGGCAGTGCTCCGCTTGTGAAGGGGAAACATGAACAGGTGGGCTTCTGGCTATCTATCTACCTATCCATCTATCTCGCGATCGATCTAGCTACCTGTTAAACTATCATAGTGGCAGGCCGCAAAATGAGATTTTCCTACATTTTAAAAGGCATACCGATAGGTGTCCGCCTTATTCGGCCTCATTGACTGGAGCCCCTATCATGCTCCGTCCTTCGTTGCGTCGACGTAGCAGGTTTCGACCACAACCTTTTGGGCGGCGGGATTGTGGTGGTGTCCCAAAGCAACCCCGGTTTTGACTTGAATCATGCAAGCCCAATCGGGGATACCCGGGCTTTCGCGCGCTTCATTCAACCCACTTCATTGTATTTTCAGCTCCTTTCATTCCATTCAACTTCGCTTTATTTCATGCTATTTGCGGTCCTTGCGGTCCTTGTGGCCCTTGCGTTGTATTTCACTCCGTTTCATTTCATTTCCTTTCATTCCTTTCATTTCACCTCCGGCCATGTCATTTCATGTCAGGTCATTTCGACGATTTGATCGTTCAACCCTTGACGCATCTCATTTATTTGATCAGCCGCCTCATTCCTTTCACGTCACTTCATGCCCTTTGTTCCCCACATCTTTGTGTGGGATTCTTGTTTTTGGTTCTGTATCCCGCCGCCTTCTCCTCCTCCTCCTCCTCCTCCTCCCGCCTCCTCCCGTCATCACACATACAACTTGCCATCACACAACTCACACACAACTCACACACAACTTGCTCACATACAACTCAACTCACACAACTTGCTCACACACAACTCAACTCACACACAACTTGCTCACATATCACACATACAACTTGTCATCATATAACTTGCTCACACACACACACAACTCAACTCACACAAAACTTGCTCACACATACAACTTGCTCACATGCAACTCAACTCACGCAACTTGTCATCACACAACTTGCTCACACACAACTTGCCTTACTCATACATTACTCATACACACACACACGTGTCATCACACAACTTGTCCACACACAACTTGTTCACACACAACTTCCTCACACACAACTTGTCCACGCGCAACTTGCTCACACACAACTTGTCCTTCCTGACATCCACCTTCGTGACAGGCGTGGCACTTGGCGACATCCACCTTCGTTTCACGTGGCAGGCGTGGCGCTTGGTCACATCCACATTCGTTTCACGTGGCAGGCGTGGCACTTATGGCACTGGGCGGGCTCTGGTGGCGCACCGGGTTCTCAGCTGACGCCGTGGGCGCCGCGGCTCTTTGCGTGGCAGGCGTGGCACTTGGTGACATCCACCTTCACTTTGCGTGGCAGGCGTGGCACTAGGTGACAGACGTGGCACTTGGCGACATCCACCTTCGTTTCACGTGCCAGGCAGGCGTGGCACTTGGTCACATCCACATTCGTTTCACGTGGCAGGCGTGGCACTTACGGCACTCCGGTTCTCAGCTGACACCGTGGACGCCGCGGCTCTTTGCGTGGCAGGCGTGGCGCTTGGTGACATCCACCTTCACTTTGCGTGGCAGGCGTGGCGCTAGGTGACAGGCGTGGCGCTTGGCGACATCCGCCTTCGTTTCACGTGGCAGGCGTGGCACTTGGTCACATCCACATTCGTTTCACGTGGCAGGTGTGGCACTTACGGCGCTGGGCGGGCTCTGGTGGCGCACCGGGTTCTCAGCTGACGCCGTGGACGCTGCGGCTTCAGTTTGCGTGGCAGGCGTGGCACTTGGTGACATCCACCTTCACTTTGCGTGGCAGGCGTGGCACTAGGTGACAGGCGTGGCGCTTGGCGACATCCACCTTCGTTTCACGTGGCAGGCGTGGCACTTGGTCACATCCACATTCGTTTCACGTGGCAGGCGTGGCACTTACGGCACTCCGGTTCTCAGCTGACACCGTGGACGCCGCGGCTCTTTGCGTGGCAGGTGTGGCACTAGGTAGGCGTGGCACTTGGCGACATCCTCCTTCGTTTCACCTGCCGTGGCACTTGGTCACATCCACATTCGTTTCACGTGGCAGGCGTGGCACTTACGGCACTGGTGGCGCACCGGGTTCTCAGCTGACGCCGTGGACGCCGCAGCTTCAGTTTGCGTGGCAGGCGTGGCACTTGGTGACATCCACCTTCAATTTGCGTGGCAGGCGTGGCACTAGGTGACAGGCGTGGCACTTGGCGACATCCACCTTCGTTTCACGTGGCAGGCGTGGCACTTGGTCACATCCACATTCGTTTCACGTGGCAGGTGTGGCACTTACCGCACTGGGCGGGCTCTGGTGGCGCACCGGGTTCTCAGCTGACGCCGTGGACGCCGCGGCTCTTTGCGTGGCAGGCGTGGCCCTTGGTGACATCCACCTTCACTCTGCGTGGCAGGCGTGGCACTTGGTGACATCGATCGTGACTTTGCGTGGCAGGCGTGGCACTTACGGCAATGGGCTGGCTCTGGTGGACGCCGCGGCTCTTTGCGTGGCAGGCGTGGCACTTCGTGACAAACAACCGTCACTTTGCGTGGCAGGGGTGGCGCATCTACCTTCGTTTTGCGTGGCAGACGTGGCGCTTATGGCTCTGGGCTGGCTCTCACACCATCTTACACACACCACTTTGTCACACACCCTCTTTGACACACCATTTTTCACACACAACTTTGTCACACACACCATGTTTCACACACCCTCTTTGACACACCATCTTTCGCACACACCATCTTTCACACACCACTTTGTCACACACCATCTTTCACACACCACTTTGTCACACACCATCTTTCACACACAACTTTGTCACACACCATCTTTCGCACACCATCTTTCACACACCACTTTGTCACACACCACTTTTTCACACACCACTTTGTCACACACCATCTTTCACACACCATCTTTGTCACACCACCTTGCCACACACCATCTTTCACACACCATCTTTCACACACCACTTTGTCATACACCAATTTGTCACACAACATCCTTTGCCACACCATCTTTCACACACAACTTTGTCACACACCATCTTTCACACACCATCTTTGTCACACCACTTTGCCACACCATCTTTCACACACAACTTTGTCACACACCATCTTTCAAACACCACTTTGTCACACACCATCTTTCACACACCATCTTTGACACCATCTTTGACACACCACTTTGTCACACACCATCTTTCACACACCGTCACAGACCATCTTTCACACACCACTTTGTCACACACCATCTTTCACATACACCATCTTTCACACACACACGCACAACTTTGTCACACACCATCTTTCAAACACCACTTTGTCCATCTTCCACACACCATCTTTCACCACACCATCTTTCACACACACAAAACTTTGTCACACACCATCTTGCCTCCACCTCCTCCTTTGTCTTTCCTTCCTTCCTCGTCCCCGCTACAACATTTGTTGCTCATTTTTGGAAGAAGTTGACTTGTGGGGTTATCCGGTCCTTTAATTTGTTAGTTTGATTTCGTTTCACTCGTTTCATGTCCCTTCATTCCCGGCGGCGATTGTGTCAGGCTTCAATCTCCGTCTAGAGGACGAGGAGCGGCGTCAGAAAAACTGCATGCCTCCGAAAACAAAATCCCTCCTGGTACTCGCCGCAATGTTGCCGGAACCTTGCTGGAACCTGGGTAGAATCTTGCTGGAGCCGTGCAACCTCTTGCTGGAACCTCTTGCTGCAACCCTGATCCTACTGTTTCCTGCTTTGGTGAGTGTGCCGGGTTGTGATGCTGGGACTCTGGCGTGAACTTTGCTGGAGCCACTTTTTTTCCCACATCTTTGTGTGGGGATCTAACTGTTTGTTCGACATCCGCCTCCGCCTCCTCCTCCTCCTCCTCCCGTCGCCTGTCTCTATCAACTTGTCTCTATCAACTTGTCTCTATCAACTTGTCTCTGTCAACTTGTCTCTATCAACATGTCTTTATCAACTTGTCTCTATCAACTTGTCTCTATCAACTTGTCTCTATCAAACTGTCTGTATCAAGTTGTCTCTACCAACTTGTCTCTATCAACTTACCGTGGGTCTGGACGCTGCACGCCGCGGCTCTGGACGCTGGACGCCGGAGGCTCTGGACGCCCTGGTGGACGCCGTGGTGCTGGGCGCTGGACGCCGTGGTGCTGGACGCTGGACGCCGCGGCTCTGGACGCTGAACGCTGCGCGACAAGACTGGTTTCAGACTGGTTTCAGGCTGGTTTCAGACTGGTTTCAGACTGGTTTCAGACTGGTTTCCGACTGGTTTCCGACTGGTTTCAGACTGGTTTCCGGTTGGTTTCCGACTGGTTTCCGTCTGGTTTCCAACTGGTTTCCGACTGGTTTCCCGATTGGTTTCGGACTGGTTTCAGACTTTTCAGACTGTTTCAAACTGGTTTCAGACTGTTTCAAACTGGTTTCCGACTGGTTTCAAATTGGTTTCCGACTGGTTTCCCGATTGGTTTCAGATTGGTTTCAGACTGTTCAGACTGTTTCAAACTGGTTTCAGACTGTTTCAAACTGGTTTCCCACTGGTTTCCCACTGGTCTCAGATTGGTTTCAAATTTCAAATTGGTTTGAGTTTAAAATGGTTTCAGACTGGTCTGAACCAATTTGAACCGTGCCTGAACCAGTCTGAACCGTGTCTGAAGTCTGAGCCGTTTGAACCGTGTCTGAACTAGTTTGAACCGTGTCTGAACCGTCTCTACTGTGTCTGAACCGTGTCTGAACTAGTTTGAACCGTGTCTGAATCGTTTGAACCGTGTCTGAACTAGTTGTTTGAACCGTGTCTGAACCAGTCCGAACCGTGTCTGAACCGTGTCCTCCAAATTTGTTCAGCCGTATCCTTTCAAAGCAATTTATTTCCGATTGTTGTTCTCTCCTGCTTTTGCGGCTGTCCGCTCATTATCCTCCTTTCTCATTTCAGTGCGCACCTTCAGCTCATAACAACCGGACGGCTTAACATGTGGGGTTATCTGGTCCTTTAATTTTGGCAACCCAGGAGCACTGGAACCTTGAAACCGTGCAACCCGAACGCGTAGAACCCGGAACCGCCTTGGAGCTTTGGAACCCTGCAAGTGGAACTTGGGCCCTTGCAAGCCTAGAACCTTGGAAACCTTGCGCGCTGGGAAGCCTCAAGCTTGGGAACATGTGAAGCTTTGAACCTTAGTGCTTTCGCAAAAAGGGCCCAAGAGAACTGCAATGTGGACAATGACATGCATGAACGGTTCCTGGGTGATCCGTGTGGACAAATCGCCGAAGATTCAATTAACTACAGCTTTCTCATCAATTTTGGGACCGTTCCAATCATCCGAGCGCCAAGCTGCCCCTCGCGATCTACAGCCGTCGCACGTCGCTGAATGAACTCAACTTGTCCTTTTCTCGTTACTCACACGTCAAAACTTTCTCTGGGAAATTTTGGAACACTGAAGTGGATTGCCAAACATGCTCGCTGCGGCCCCGCCAATCTGGCGAATGTTGCAAAACATGTTGGTGCGTTTTTCAAACAGATTTTCCGAGGTCATGAATGGCTTCGCCTGCGCTCACAAAACCCCAATTTCCACATGTGATACTTCCTGGCAGCTGTCTATTGAGATCCGGGCACCTGACGTATTATGTGACATGAAGCCCTATAGTGCTCGACGACGCATGTCTCACCAACACCGTCACGCTCACAAGCAAAATCGCCTACCCTCAGCCCAACCGCCCACACAATATTGTCATCCTTGTCTCAGATTCCTCAAGGCCCCTCCTAGACAGTTCAAAGCTGCTCTCCCCTCCTCTCTTTCAAGACTGCACCCAAGCCTTTGCTAGAAAGGCCGTCCCCCCCCACTGGGCAGCGAGGTATTGTTAACCTAGGCGGGCTGCCTCACCTTTCTCCGTAACAATATCTTTCCCTGCTTTACGCATTGATATTGGCTAAACTACATATATACATAAACGGAAATATCATGAAACGTCGCTAAGTACAACATGCAATTAATTTACAAATAGCGTGCAAGAGATTCACGTTCAGGTTTTCAATATCTATCTAGGTAAACTGCCTTAATTTCGTTTCGTTCTGTTTTGTTTCATCTCTCTTCACTTCCTTTCACTTCATGTCATTGGTTCCTTTCTCTCACTTCATCATGTCACCGTTCCTTCATTCACACATTTGCTCATTCGTTTAGTCATTCATTGGTTCGGTCCTTCCTTTTTCATTCCCTCAATCCTTCGTTCGTTTCCTCATGCATTTCTTCCTTCCTTCATTAATTCGATCGTTCGTTCATTCATTTCATTTGATTTTGGTTCGTTTTTCCCCACATCTTTGTGTGGAGTTCTTGTTTTTCCCATCTGCTGCCTCCTCCTCCTCCTCCCGCCTCCTCCTCCCAACTCACTCACACACAACTTACTCACACACACACACAGCTTGCCCTCACACACAACTTGTTCACACACAACTCTCACACACACAACTTACTCACACCCACACACAACTTGCCCTCACGTACAACTTGTTCACGCACAACTCTCCCACACACAAAAACTTACTCACACACACAACTTACCAACACACAACTTACTCATACACACAATTTACTCACACACTCTCTCACACGCAACTTGTTCACACACAACTTGTTCACACACACACACAACTTACTCTCTCTCTCTCTCACACACACACACCTCTCTCACGCGCAACTTACTCACACACACACACAACTCTCTCGCACACAACTTGTTCACACACAACTTGTTCACACACAACTTACCCACACACACACACACACAACTTACCCACACACAACTTACTCACACACACAACTTTGCGTGGGCATCGACCTTGCCTTTGCGTGGCGTGTGTGGCGCTTACGGCTCTGGACTGGCTCTGGTGGCGCTTGGGTCCGTGGACGCCACAGCTGTTTGTGTGGCAGGCGCGGCGCTTTGCGTTTGGTTCCCGTTTGACGCCGTTGTCGCTGCGGCGGTCGGCGTGCCAGGCGTCGCACTAGGCGACATCGAGGTGCATTCTGCGTGGCACGCGTGGCACTTGCCGACATCGACGTGCATTCTGGGTGGCAGGCATGGCACTGGGCTGTCTCTGGCGGACTCTGGCGGCGCGCTTGGTTCCCGTTTGATGCCGTTGTCGCCACGGCTGTTGGCGTGGCAGGCGTGGCGCTTGGCGACATCCACCTTCACTTTGCGTGCCAGGTGTGGCACTTGGCGACATCGACGTGCTTTTTGCGTGGCAGGCGTAGCACTTATGGCACTGGGCTGGCTCTGGTGGCGCGCTTGGTTCCCGTTTGACGCTGTTGTCAGCGCGGCTGTTGGCATGGCAGACGTGGCGCTTGGCGACATCCACCTTCACTTTGCGTGCCAGCCGTCACACACAAATTTGTCACACACACACACAGCTCTTTTACACACAACTTTGTCACACGCAACTCTTTCACACACAACTGCACAACTCACAACTCTTTTGCACACAACTTTGTCGCATACATCTCTTTCACACACAACCTTTTACACACAACTTTGTCACAGACAATTCTTTCACACACAACGCTTTTACGATGACCACACCCTAAAGGGTCCCCCAGAGTGGTCCCCCACCTCGATTAATTTTTAAAAATAATCCAAGGGTCCCTACTTCTTCAAGGTACCCCTATTAATTTGCTCGGCGGCACTTCCCCCCCACCTAGATGTAATAAATGGTTCTCTCCCCGCCACCTAAATTAATTTCAGCAAGAGCGGTGGAACTACGATTTCTTCTTGGGTTCAGGGGACCCCCAAATAATTTCTTCTAATTAATTGGGGTGTGGCTAGCTAAATTATTCGAGGTAGGGGGGAAGGTATCCAAAGTTTCAGGAACATATGGCCTCCAATGAGGCCAGCCAAGCCCATACGCATGTCTCATCGTATTCAAACCATGGGGTCCCAAGCCAGTGCACCCACCCCCAAATTAATTTTACGCGTGGCCACGCGAGCTGGGAAAATGGAAAAACTTTGTTGACGCAAAAAGAAACAGATTGGGTGTGTATTTGTTCGTGAGGTTTTTAGGACTGGTTTTCAATTCTCATCGCGGACAATCACCAAGATTCTGTTCCAAACGCATCTTCTTTGTAAATGCCGCCCAGTTAGATTTAGTGTCATTACCATCATTGGGTCCTGTGCTGGCACACCCACATCCAAATTAATTTTACGCGTGTCCACGCAAGCTGGGAGGAAGGAAAGCAATGGTTGGTGATATGAGAAATAACTTGCATGTTCTCAATAAGATTCTTTTCCAGACGCATTTTCTTACTTGTAAATGCCACCCAGGTAGATTTAGCGTCATTAATAATCCAAGTTTGATTGAGCTGGCATGAGCTGTTTGAGGAAACATTGCCAAATTAATTCGAGGTGGCCCCACTCTCATTCTCAAGCATTCAAACTAAATTAATTTGGGTACCCCCAACTTAAATTAATCCTCGAACAATAGAGTTCTCGAAAAAAACCACCCAAATCAGAATTAATTGAACAAAATTAATTGGATAACCAACGGTCCACCTGGATTAATTTCGTTAACGGGGTCGTCATCTTTTGCATGCACAAACTTCTACGCACAACACTGTCACACACCGCTCTTTCACCCAACCTGTCTTGCACCATCTCCTTTCTCGTTCCTGCCTTTCCCATCTCATTTTCACATCTGCTTGGTCTGTATTGGAAGAAGTTGACATGTGGGGTTATCCGGTCCTTTAATCTTTCGTTTCAATTCCATGAGTTGCCCTGTCTTGTTCGCCCGCGGCCGCTCTGTTGCAGCACATCGTGTTTGTACGGCTGTGAAAATGTTGTGCTCTGATTTCAAGATTCGCAGCTTGCACAAGCCGAAGCCCCCACACCCAGGCAAGCTGAGGGGCAGAAAGGGGCAAAGCAACCCTTAATTGCCGAGAAGCAGGGTCAACTTCGCCAGGAAACCGGACCTGCATCAAACAGCTGTGGCGGGATGTCAAAAAGGGGCACAGAATAGATCACGCCCCTCTGGGACAATGAAACAAGCAGCTTTAGCGGCCAGTGCGCCTCTCATGGCTCTCTCTCCTCTGGCAAAGAATTGCCACTGTTGTGGAGTTATGCTGCAATCGTGCAAACGTGAGCGCGCATCGTAAGGCTTCGTATCACAAAAAGTGTGTGCCTACGAGCAGGCCAAGAAATTGCTCAAATTGGCTGGCGATGGCTCCGTCATTTTCTGGGCCAAGCATGTGTCGCTGCGGGTTTGGTCGGAAACGGCTTGACGTATGATCTTATTGCTAGCTCACCGTCTGACATTATTCATTGCGCTTACTGCGCTGCAGCTTGAGCGTCTCGGCATCTGAAAACATGAGCAACCCTGCTGCGGATACTGTTCTGAACAGGAGTATTCTGCGCGATTCTCTCACCTCCGCTGTTCACACTTCTACGCGTTGCTTGCAATAACCGCCCTACCGGTACCACAAGCAGGTCTTCCGCCTCCAACATGCACTAAGTTTGACCCCAAACAAAAACCTACCGTCAGAAGGAAATGAAGCAATTAGCCGGAGCAGGTAGCAAGAATTAACAATACAACTTGCATTTCATGCAAAGAGTTGTGTAGAAGGCTTAGCCTCATAGCATTCATGCAGTGAGCCAGGCAATCAGCCCAGAGAAGCCCCCGTCTCTACACAAGGGAAGCTGAACCATCCCGAAGCTGAGCCCATGTGATTTTTGCAAGGTGCGCATTTGGGGTGGAATTTGTGCTTACTTTTTAGTTTTTCAGTCTAGGGCGCTCTTCCTTCTGCTTTCTACGCTTTGGAGCAAGAGCTATCATGTGCTTTGATGTTGTGGCTAAAAATTCTTGGTTTGCACGTTCCATTCGGATTTTCCTATCTTTTCGTTCATTGGCTGGCGATGGCTCCGTCATTTTCTGGGCCAAGCATGTGTCGCTGCGGGTTTGGTCGGAAACGGCTTGACGTATGATCTTATTGCTAGCTCACCGTCTGACATTATTCATTGCGCTTACTGCACTGCAGCTTGAGCGTCTCGGCATCTGAAAACATGAGCAACCCTGCTGCGGATACTGTTCTGAACAGGAGTATTCTGCGCGATTCTCTCACCTCCGCTGTTCACACTTCTACGCGTTGCTTGCAATAACCGCCCTACCGGTACCACAAGCAGGTCTTCCGCCTCCAACATGCACTAAGTTGACCCCAACAAAACCTACCGTCAGCAAGGGAATATGAAGCAATAGCCGGAGCAGGTAGCAAGAATAACCAATACAACTTCGCATTTTCATGGCAAGAGTTGTGGTAGAAGGTAGCCTCATAGCATCATGCAGTGAGCCAGGCAATCAGCCCAGAGAAGCCCCGTCTCTACTACAGAGGAAGCTGAACCATCCGAAGCTGAGCCCATGTGATTTTTGAAGGGGTGCATTTTTGGGTGGAATTTGTGTTACTTTTTAGTTTTTCAGTCTAGGGCGCTCTTCCTTGCTGCTTTCTACGCTTTGGAGCTAAGAGCTATCATGTGCTGATGTTGTGGCTAAAATCTCTTGTTTGCACCGTTCATCGATTTTCCTATCTTTTCGTTCATTGGCTGGCGATGGCTCCGTCATTTTCTGGGCCAAGCATGTGTCGCTGCGGGTTTGGTCGGAAACGGCTTGACGTATGATCTTATTGCTAGCTCACCGTCTGACATTATTCATTGCGCTTACTGCACTGCAGCTTGAGCGTCTCGGCATCTGAAAACATGAGCAACCCTGCTGCGGATACTGTTCTGAACAGGAGTATTCTGCGCGATTCTCTCACCTCCGCTGTTCACACTTCTACGCGTTGCTTGCCATAACCGCCCTACCGGTACCACAAGCAGGTCTTCCGCCTCCAACATGCATTAAGTTGACCCCAACAAAACCTACCGTCAGCAAGGGAATATGAAGCAATAGCCGGAGCAGGTAGCAAGAATAACCAATACAACTTCGCATTTTCATGGCAAGAGTTGTGGTAGAAGGTAGCCTCATAGCATCATGCAGTGAGCCAGGCAATCAGCCCAGAGAAGCCCCGTCTCTACTACAGAGGAAGCTGAACCATCCGAAGCTGAGCCCATGTGATTTTTGAAGGGATGCATTTTTGGGTGGAGTTTGTGTTACTTTTTAGTTTTTCAGTCTAGGGCGCTGCTTTCTACGCTTTGGAGCTAAAAGCTATCATGTGCTGATGTTGTGGCTAAAATCTCTTGTTTGCACCGTTCATCGATTTTCCGATTTTTTCGTTCATTGGCTGGCGATGGCTCCGTCATTTTCTGGGCCAAGCATGTGTCGCTGCGGGTTTGGTCGGAAACGGCTTGACGTATGATCTTATTGCTAGCTCACCGTCTGACACTTTTGATTGCGCTTACTACACTGCAGCTTGAGCGTCTCGGCATCTGAAAGCATGAGCAACCCTGCTGCGGATACTGTTCTGAACAGGAGTATTCTGCGCGATTCTCTCACCTCCGCTGTTCACACTTCTACGCGTTGCTTGCCATAACCGCCCTACCGGTACCACAAGCAGGTCTTCCGCCGCCAACATGCATTAAGTTGACCCCAGCAAAACCTACCGTCAGCAAGGGAATATGAAGCAATAGCCGGAGCAGGTAGCAAGAATAACCAATACAACTTCGCATTTTCATGGCAAGAGTTGTGGTAGAAGGTAGCCTCATAGCATCATGCAGTGAGCCAGGCAATCAGCCCAGAGAAGCCCCGTCTCTACTACAGAGGAAGCTGAACCATCCGAAGCTGAGCCCATGTGATTTTTGAAGGGGTGCATTTTTGGGTGGAATTTGTGTTACTTTTTAGTTTTTCAGTCTAGGGGCTCTTCCTTGCTGCTTTCTACGCTTTGGAGCTAAAAGCTATCATGTGCTGATGTTGTGGCTAAAATCTCTCGTTTGCACCGTTCATCGATTTTCCTACTTTTTCGTTCATTCCCTATGGCTTTCATTGATTTTTCAAGAATGCTGGCCTCACCGACTTTTCCATGGCCCTGATTGATTTTGCCATGGTTTGCATTGGCTTCTTGTGGTTTTCACAGTTTTGTCGATGAGTTGCATGGATTTTCCAATGGCGCACATTGAAATTTTCCACTGCTTTCATCAACTTGCCTATGGTTTTCACTGATCCCGATCTTCCATGGTTTGCTTTGGTTTTCATGGTTCTCAGCGTTTTTTCCATGATTTTCCGCGCCGTTTTCATAGTTCTCATCGAAATTTCGGCGCTGTCATTGATCCTGCACTGGTTCGCATTAGTATTGCAATAGCCCTCGTTGATTTTCATGTGTTGCGTGGTTTCAATCAAGCGCCCGCTGGGCACCTGCGATATCCGAAAAAAGCCTGCCTGTGCATTGGCAATCCAAGCAGTATCCCCAACACATGGGTGTTCATTGGTTTTTCAACGGTGCCTGGTGACCTTTCAAAAGGCGTCCCTGAACTTTTCAATGGCTTTCATGTTTAAAATGGCGTTCATTCATTTCATACCGGTTTTCATTGGTACCTCTCTCATTTCATCACGTGCTCAACGGATTGAAGTCTACACTGGACCTCCAAAACATCAAGCAAGAAGGGACATACACACCTGCAAGTGTTTTCCATGCTTTAGGTTGAATATGGTACTCGAGGTGTATATGATGAGTAGCTTGCGCCTTTGTGAACAAATAATTGAGGCACAGTGTTGAGGGCAAACAATTTGGCGTAGGGGTTGGTTTGAGATTTCTTCAAGGTTGAGTTAGGGCTTATTTAAAATGTGATATATATATATATATTCATATACTGCATGATTACAAATTTGCTTGTATAATAGTGTATTTGCGAGTGTGCAAGCTTGGATTTCAACTAGACGACGGATGGCCCGAGAGCGTAGAGGAGCAGAGTCTTCTGTTGTTAGTATGGAGACACTATATTACAACACAATATATTAAAGATGTATTAAAGGCAGGCGGGAAGAATAGTATCAAGACAACATATCACAAACACAAGACCATAGTTTGCACCGTAAATTTCGTATAGTTTTTCACACACAGAACTTTTTACAAGCAGACGCGTTTGCACACAGAGACTTTTACACACAGACGCTTTTACACACAGACGTTTTACACAAAGAGACTTTTACACACAGAAGCTTGCACACACAGAGAGGCTTTTAAACACAGAAGCTTTTGCATACACAGAATTCTACACACAGAAGCTTTTACACGCAGACCCTTTTACAGACAGATGCTTTTACACAAACACCTTCACACGCAGAGACTTTTACACACAGACACTTTCACACACAGACACTTTTACACACAGACGCTTTTACACACAAACGCTTTTACACACAAACGCTTTTACACACAGAGACTTTTACACACAGAAGCTTTTACACAAACACCTTCACACGCAGAGACTTTTGCACACAGACGCTTTTACATACAGACACTTTTACACACAGACACTTTTACACACAGACGCTTTTACAGAAACACTTTCACACGCAGAGACTTTTACACACAGAGACTTTTGCACACAGACGCTTTTACACACAGAGACTAGACTTTTACACACGGAGACTTTTACACACAGAAGCTTTTACACAAACACCTTCACACGCAGAAGCTTTTACACACAGACGCTCTTACGCTTTTACACACAAACACTTTTACACACAGACGCTTTTACACACAAACACTTTTACGCACAGAGACCACCCGTGAAATCGCAATTTTACCTCAGTTTTTGGTGATCGAACCTCATTTCGTGCGAAAGTGTTGCGATTGGACGCCAGAAATCGCAATTTTACTTCAGTTTTTGGCGATCGAACCTCATTTCATGCGAAAGTGTTGCGATTGGACGCCAGAAATCGCAATTTTACTTCAGTTTTTGGCGATCGAACCTCATTTCGTGCGAAAGGGTTGCGATTGGACAAGAGAAATCGCAATTTTACCTCAGTTTTTGGCGATCGAACGTCATTTCGTGCGAAAGGGTTGCGTTTCCTGCCGTCTCGTTGGCACTGCCCCGCGCCTTCAAGAGAGAAATAGAAAAGGAAGGAGAGAGCAAGAGGGCAAGAGAGCAAGAGGGGAAAAGAGAATGTGAAGATGTGAAGATGAGAAGATGTGAAGATGTGAGGATGTGAAGATTGAGGATGAGACGATGTGAAGATGAGCAGATGTGAAGATGTGAAGATTGAGGATGAGAAGATGTGAAGATGAGCAGATGTGAAGATGAGAAGATGTCAAGATGAGAAGATGTGAGGATGAGAAGATATGAAGATGTGAAGATGAGAAGATGTGAAGATGAGCAGATGTGAAGATGAGAAAATGTCAAGATGAGAAGATGTGAGGATGAGAAGATGTGAAGATGTGAAGATGAGAAGATGTGAAGATGAGCAGATGTGAAAATGAGAAGGCGTGAAGATGTGAGGATGTGAAGATGAGAAGATGTGAAGATGTGAGGATGTGAAGATGTGAGGATGTGAGGATGAGAAGATGTGAAGATGAGAAGATGTGAAGATGAGAAGATGTTTTACAGACGCCCGCTATTGGAAGAACCCTGCGCTCAGACGCTCTCGGGAATAAAAAAGCGGCACGTGGGGATGGTCTTGACTGGGGGAGGGTTGAAGAGGGACAATAGCGTCCTTCAAGGCAAGGATCAGCCAAAGCATCTTCCCAGGCTGCAAGCACTGTTTTTCTCTATCGGCCAATGAGCTATTCTGTGCTGGGCCTAGCCTGCAAAGCTATACCTCTATCTCTTGAGCCTCGACAGCGTTTTAAATTGTGCTCGTGCTGATGCATATGCCCTGTTGAGGGGTTTTTGCCACTGATGTGGAAAAGGGCCATGCAGAAAAACAGTAGGGACACTAACTTACCTTGTGTTGATGAAGACGATCCACCTTGAAGACGATCCACCTTGACCAGTGTTGTAGCCAGTGAAAGAGCCGCCCCCATATCAATATCCGTTCCAATCTATCCAGGAGCTCCATTCCAACTGGTCATCATCATCATCATCATCTTCTTCTTCTTCATCTTGCGGTCCGGCCCTTGCGCTGGTTGTGCCTCTCTTGCGGTTTTCTTCCGGCCTTTCTCTCCATCGTCTCAGCAGGAGGGACGTATGTGCGAGCTCCGTATTGAGTGAGATCAAAAGGTGTGAGGTGCGCAAGCAAAGGATTGCGAGCATCACTGTCAGTTGGAGCAACCAGGGCTATGCGGCTATGTTGTGATCGGATAGTAGGCGAGTGTCGTTCACTGAAGTTGTGCTCTCCAACATGATTCGTGTGGTACTGACGACCTAGCATGTCCCCGGTCACAAACTGACATCACGCAGCGTCTGGCCAAAGAGTGCGTGTAGGTCTCGGTCTTGAAGTTGTGCACAGCCTTTGCTCTTTCCTTTTCCTCGGCCTTTTCCTTTCCTTGGTGTGCAGAATCTTCTTCCTCCTTGGCCTTTGCCTTTTCCTTTTCTCTTTCCGTTTTCTTTTCCTCTTCTCGTCTGCCTTCCTTGGAACCTTCTTCGACACCGTGCGAAGTCAGCATCACCAAAGACCCAGAAAACATCTTCTAAAGCATCCAGGAATACTTCAGCAACATCTTCTTCATCTGCGTTCATCTTCGGACCCATAGCCGTCGGTTCCATCAAAGGTCACATTCTTCTTCCAGAATGAGGAGAAATCTCTTCTGCCCAACAGCAGAAAGTTGAATTGCCTGCTCCGGTTTTGGCCGCGCAAAGCATCTCGGGGAATAGATCTTTGAGTTCTGTCACATTGTATTGACATAATGTCCTTCCACGATGTGTCATGTTGCTTGTGAGTGTGTTTCTTTGATCTTGCATCAAACTTGCCAAGAGTACAAACAACAATGCTGACAAGTTGTCACTATAAGGAGTTGCTTGTCCTGCTTGTGAGTTGATTGAATGTATTCATCTCCGTTTTGCCTGTCCATGGTACATTGATATGTGGACTGCACCTGGAGTGGCTGCTGCAACTTCTCCTAGTTGTACCTGTGCTGCTTCATGAGCTTGTCTTCGTAGATTGACATGTGCAATCGCATCTGGATGTGTGATTTTCAAATTTGGTAGGAGAGCCATCCAACCAAGGCTCAACGGGCCTATTTCCGGTAATTTGAAACCTAATCATCCATCGTTGAAATCCCTTGAACCTCGGTCGTGCTTCTTTAACTGCATGAGCAGATGCAAAAACACTGTCTGAGCCTGACCTCCTTTAACGGCATGATATCGAAATAGTTCACACCATCTGTACATGGCTGCGTCTCCTTCGAGTTTGTTCCTCAAAGCAGGTCCATGTTTTTCAGGTTCCAAGTCCGCGATTTCACACCAATCATCACTTGCATCCTTGAAAGCAAAGAAGCTGGTCTTTCCATTATATGACGGGGCTACCTTCGCCGTCAGCTGCTGCGTCATGTGGATTGCAAATTGCTGGGCGTCTCTTCTTACTGCAACGGATTCACATGGATTCCATCAACTACCATCATCGGCAATGCCGAGATCATCATCATAGTCATGGCTTGTCATTGGGCTGTACCCTTGTACACCTGATTGCTCCGCTATCACTTGAAGAGGGGCAATAGCGTCCTTCAAGTAAAGGATCAGCTATAGAGCGTCTGCCCAAGGTTTCCGGTTCTTTCAGGGTTGGTTTGGGGTCTATTTAGGGTTGGTTTCAAATTTCTTTAAGGCAGGTTGGTTGAGGGTCTGTTCATATAGGGTTGGATTAAAGTTTATTCAGGGATACAGCACGCGCATGAAAATAACACAAAACCAATAATTACGTGGGTGCGAAAAGCAACAAAAACCACAACAAGTACAAAAGCCACCAAAGCCCCAAACCCTGAAAAGCTACAAGAGCAATTTCAGCTTACTGCCAAGGGACCAGAAAAGCAATTAGAACAAGAAGCCCCAAAAAAAAAACAAGCCAAACAAACAAGAAGCTAAGAAGCCGAGAAAACGAAGGTCACAAAAGCCAGAAAAGCCACAAAAGCCAAGAAACCAGACCGGAAAACAAAAAATAACAAACACACAAACAAATAGCAATCCTTTTTGGAGCAGGCCTGTCCCAAAAACAGGTGTCAAGAGCAATCGGTTTATTTGCTAGATGTTGCTAGCTGCTAGCCGAACTGTTTGAAGGGTGGTTCATGGTGATACGATGCCAAAACCGTATGCAACAATCAATGGCAACCCAACCATTCTTGTAGCGACAGAAACAGAAATTTCTTGTCTGCAGCAATTCTGAGAGCGGGCCCGCCTTGATGGTTGTAACTTCCAGTGGAGACAGCTTGTGTCACATGTTGGCAAGAAGAGATTCATGTGATGGCATGCAATACCCTTTCTATCCAGAACCCAAACAAATGAACTCCTAGGCGACGGCCACCCCGGACCCATCAGAAACCACCGGTTGCAAGCAGAGGCCAAGTTTGCATAATCTTCTGGCTGGCTCAAAGCTCGCAGCAATTAATCATGCCTAGCCTGTTCGTTGTTGCGTGTGATTGCCCTTTCCCCGCTCACCATTCCTAGCTCTTTTTTCCATGGTTCATCAAGATTCCATCAAATTTTCGCAAGTCTGCAATGACCAAAAGCACGGCCCGTGGCCCGAGGATGGCAAGAAACCTGTCGCTGACATCTTCAACTCCATCAACAACCCCTTCGTGCCATCCTTTGTCAATTCCTGCGATGTCAAAGCTTGATTTAGCAGTGTGGCAAACTCACTGGCACATCTGAATGCAGATGTATATGCAACCGCTGCGTTACACTGCTGGCGGATCTGAAACTAGCAGAGAAGGTTTGCTACGTCGCTACGTTGGGCAAATTACTCAGGAATGGGGCCTTGACATCCTGCCTACTTCGGTTCTTTTGGCAACAAACACGTCACTCCAACTGCCCAGGTCAAACAGACGAACAGAAGATGACAAACCGCAGGGTGGCGCAATTTTATGCGAACATATCAGTAAAACGCATGCAGCCGGATCTTCCAACCTCTGCCACAACTGTGGCCATGACCAGGAATAGGCAGGAACTGTGACACCCAGTGGCGCCCAATCATAGGAACCCATCTCCTCGATAGACAAGAACAGCGCCGTGATTCCTGGGATCTGTTCACCGGGCGCCAATGTCAGAGAAAGCCCCCAATATGGTCTGGAAATGCATGAGCAATCCCGCTCACTAAGTAGATTCAACCGCATGTTACTTGTGAAAAGTACTGTATAAATTGATTGCCAATGTGGCCGCGTTTTCACCGAATCTGGCCATGAATTGGTCATGCCATGGGCTGCCAAGCGTCACATACCTTCTGCAAACCCTGCAGGCGAGCAGCAATGGCAGCAATGGGAATTAGGAACTGCAGCGAACTAAAGCATGCCCTCTTAGTCCATTCAGATGGCTGAATCTGTTTGCTCAATGTGCAAATATGTACAAGTCCATTCCAGCAGTGCGCCTGCCAAAAGGAACAGACTTCTTGCCACCTGGCATGCAATGGTCGGCTCAACCTTCTGGCACATTGCTTGACGATGAAACTGCCTTTTCCATGGAAACAAATTAGGCCTATATAAATGGGATATCGCCTTCAACTGGCTTGCGGCCCTCGCTTCCAAATTGTTTTTAGCACTTTTGTGCAGGCTTGGCCGCTTCTTTTGGCAGAAGCAACTGCCGCATCTTCTAAGTACGTAGCAGGAATATGCAGAAATTGAATGAGGCTAGGGAAGGTTCAAGAAACAAATGAGTTTCAGCCCTTTCGCCCTGAAGATGGGGCAACGAGCAACTCTACTTAACTTCAAAGCCTCTGAGTCTGCCCTTGGTTTTCGCAGTGTTGGTTGCTCATTTGTATAGCTCCGGGGCTGCGCAACAAACATGATCGCAAATGCAATTTCACCTACTTTGAGCCGCAAATCTTTGTGGCAGAACTTGGTTCTCCCAATCCGCTTCAGCCCGCCAAGCCTTTGACGAGGTCCCACACTTGAATGACTGCCTACAGGACAAACTTTGCCCCAATGCACGCTTGCTCCCTGAATGGCACCTCTTAACGCACAGGCCTTCACATGGATGTTTTGTGCAACGATGGCTTCGCGCCAAATCCTGCAACGCTGAGCGAGGAGGGCGGGGGAACAACTAGATGGCAAAATGGCGCACGCCCCACCGGGTGCACATGCGCATATACTTAAAAAGGGCGGGTGGGCACTACGCCCAGTTTTCCCAGCTGCGAAGAACAATGAATCAATGTGCCTCTTATTAATGTTCTACCAAGTCGCAAATTGCACGGACGGCCCAAATCAACAACCGGGCAACACCTGCAAGCACTGCCCACATCACCAGCAGCACAGGAAAAGAACTACTATAGGGTCAATCGCTCCTCTTCTGTCGGTCGCCCTGCATCGGCATGACGAAACTGCGAAGCTATCTCCAATGTGATCAGTTCTCTCTCTCTCTCTCTGTTTCGCTCTCTCTCACTCTCAGCGAGAAAAATCTACGAGCAGAATATATCTCAAACAGTCTTTCCACACACGATCACACACCCCAATTAGCGGCGCGGCAGTCGCCACCTCACAGGCCTGCGTACGAACACATCCTCTCTATATATCCGAATAGATGTGAAAGGTATCCTGAGGTATCCAGGTGTCCAATGTCCTTTTGCTTCCGAAGGAATGTGAACACGGCATGCCTTTCTTGACCGGGCGGCCTGTCAGATTTCTGTCTGTCTATCTGTTGAATCAGTGCGTCTCGCCTCCTGGTAGAAGACCGGTTCGCCATCTGACAGGGCCGTTCCAAGTGCGTCAGGAAACAGCAACCAACGCTTCAAAAAACGACACATCAAAAATGAGGTCGGGTGGGTTGGGTGGCCTACTGTGGCAACTCGGTATTGCGGCTCTTACAAGTCTCACACGTTTCGCACGTTTCATGATTCCCTTTGATTTTATGGGCCTTGGTTCCCTTTGATTTGATGGGCCTTGGAAGGCACGGGACAGGAGATGACAGGGCACTTTCTCTCTTAGCTGCTGCCGCCCAGCTGGCCCAACCATCACATTGTAGCATGGCCTTGGGCGACCGCCGCAGGTCAGCAATACTGTATGTGTCTTTTTGCATTGGCATCGTTGGCACCTACTTACAGTAAAGTTGGCAAGTGATATCAGCATGTTCTGCCCTCAACCGAGGTACCCATCATAATCCCAGGCTGCGCTGCCAGAAACGAAAGCTGGCATCCTGACAGGCAAAAAGGTGAGGGTGGTGAAATCATGTCGGATCACATGTTCTCGCTGAGGGCAATCTCAGAAGTAAGCCAAGCATCTCGCCAGGTGTCATTAGAAACTTATCACGGCAGGCAATGTGCTTTTGACATGGGTCTAGCAACCCATTACCATGTGAGTGTGACACGCCGCCACCAAGATTCAGGCAGCTTCTGATGCGTAGCTGACCAATAGTTGACCCGCTCACGGTCCTGCAAAGGTTCGCCGCACAAATTGCTCCAACACGATGAATCTGCATTGAATGCCGCAGATTCATCATCATTCATCCCTTGAAAAAACCGAAGTAACCAAACATCATTCTACATCGAAAACATCGTGTGAAAGGGATCTCATCAAGGAGTCACTCTCACAGCATAGCCGTTGAGCCTTATCCAACACGAAAAACAATGGGCCAGGCCGTGCGGGAGTTGGGACCGCCTCTTGCAACATTCTTAGTTATCTTCCTCCATCAACATTAACAAGCGCGTATCGTTGCTACTTTTTAGCTTGTCGAATTTGATAAATTGCTTGCCTGTGATTGCAGACTTGTCCCGTCCCACAGCTAGAAGCTCCTTGTAAACTTCGTAGACAGGCGCCTCAAGACTGAATGTACCGTCACGTGCCTTTTGTGCTTTCTGTGAAGGAAGCGAGCATGGTCTTCTTTGGACTTGCACTCACAAGACTCGCAAGAGTATGGAAGGTTAGGACTGCCACCTCGCAGCAAGATGATCGCATGAAAAAAGACAGCGACATGTTTGACATGTTTGGTGCGATGTCTCAACTTCGTATTCGAAGCCGTGACTTCATCACGCGGATACTTTCTTTCCGCCTTCCTCAACTTTTCCTTGGCATCAAACCCATCATGCACCTCCTAAATCCTATGTTCAACGATTTCCAAAGAAGTTAACTTGAGGCCAGTAAGGATAGTAAGGCCTTTGCCATGCCAGGAACTCATCTTAACGCCCAGCTTTGAATGCTATAATATGCTTTAATATGCTTAAATATGTTTAAATATGCTTTGAAATGCTTTAATATCTTTTTTGGTTTTGGTCTTTGGTTCAGGTGTGTCCGGCACCGTGCCTCCCGCATCTCCCAGGGGACATCATCATTCAGCATGTCCTCGCATTCCTGGCTTTCCCACCCGGCAATGGGTGTCTAGTCTAGCGCCTGGCCAATTATCTGGCAAAATTGCACCCTTGCTTTCAACATTGCTTGCAGTGGCCATTGGGTTGATACCTTTGAAATTTGGCAATCGTTTGCAATCCTGAAAATCAATTCCCTGATGCATAGGTCCGTATTCACAGCACAAGACTCATGACGTCTTCTTCAGATTGCTTTCCATAGTGTTGTTTCTATGTTTTCTGCCCCGCTGCTTTGAACGGTCCTTTCAACTTACATGGAAACAATGTGACTGTTGCTGAATACAGTGAGTGCCGTCAATGTCACCTTTAGTCGTTCCTTTGGCCTATGCTTGGCTTCTTTCTAGACCCATGAGCTCCCTGCAGAACATGCGGCTCCAACCGGCCACATATGTCAGCACATGTGATATCAGTCACTTTCCGCCCTCCTATCTGCAAACTTTAGGCAGATTGGCTTTCAGATCAAATTTACGTGGAAACTGAAGCGATGCGTTATCGAGTGAGTTCATGGTTAATGACCTTCGGACTTTCTTTGATATTGGCTTTGGATCATTTTGGATCATCTTCCTTTGATTATGCAAAATTACGGTATCGTTATTGATGGTCGTTCAGAAACCGTTATCCCACTTGAATCTGGCCTCCTCTTGGTCCTGCACAGGCCGAGCTCAAAGTAACCGCGCAATGCGACACATGGATCATGGATACCATCAACTACTGCCCAGGCGCTATACAAAAGTTCAAAATAGACCTTAAAACCGGGGTCTAAGATCAAGTTGTATGGTTCTCTAGGTATGTCTGAAACATACGTTCAAAAACAGGCTAGGGTATCCACCGAAAAGGTCTAAGACATGTGACCCCCTACCCCAGAAGGAAAAAATTGGGGAAACCGTCAGAAGGAAAAATCAATATAGACCCTCTGCACTGTGAGGTCTAAAATGGTTGGCTCAAAATGTCATGGACGTCAGCTTCGTGAAAGCGAAGCCAATCCATGCCAATCCCCAAATCATCGAAACAGCGTGTCATCTTTTTTTGCACTGTGATTGCGCAACACAAATGCAACAAAACCTGATCATGGTGTTTTTTTTTGCTGTTTCCCTTTTGGATGCTGTTGTGTTTGCCAGACGCAGCTTAGAGAATTTTGGACTGGATGATTTCCCTTAATAATGCAGACGATCCTTGTTTGTTTTGAAGGTATGGCCTCACACCTGGGGGTCTGACATCATGTTGTGGATTCAAAGTTGGTATTATCCTAGGGTTTTGTGAAACAAGGATTTGATTTCAGACCCAGGTTGCTACCACAGTTTCCTTTCTGGAAGCGGTGCGGGACCACAGTGAGACGCGCAGTGCAGGTCTAGAATGATGTTCTTAATCCATATGATACAGCAGCAGAGCTGCTTTTATACAATACATTCATGGTAGACCCAATATATCTCAACATCTTTGTAAAATATATAGTTTTATATTTTATATCCAGAAACATCCAGAAACCTAATCAAGTTTTTTTGCTGTTTCCCTTTGGATGTTTTTGTGTCAGTGTTGGAAGTGTCGAGACTTGGACAAGGTTTGAGAATCTTTGGGGATGGCTTTGCATGTTGAGCGTGCAGCAACCGTGCATGAGGTGCATGTACATGCGTTTTTTTTCGGACACTGCGCGGGCCCACAGTGAGATGTCAAGGTCTAGAATTATATTCTTAGCGCATATGATACAGCAGCAGAGCTGCTTTTATACAATGCATTCATGATAGACCCAATATATCTCAACATCTTTGTAAAATATATAGTTTTATATTTTATATCCAGAAACATCCAGAACCCTGATCAAGTTGTTTTTTGCTGTTTCCCTTTGGATGTTGTTGTGTCAGTGTTGGAAGTGTCAAGATTTGAACAAGATGTGAGAATCTTTGGGGATGGCTTTGCATGTTGAGCGTGCAGCAACCGTGCATGAGGTGCATGTACGTGCGTTTTTTCGGACACTGCGCGGGCCCACAGTGAGATGTCAAGGTCCAGAATTATATTCTTAGCGCATATGATACAGCAGCAGAGCTGCTTTTATACAATGCATTCATGATAGACCCAATATATCTCAACATCTTTTTATAATATATAGTTTTATATTTTATATCCAGAAACATCCAGAAACCTCATCATGGTGTGTTTTTTGCTGTTTCCCTTTTGGATGCTGTTGTGTTTGCCAGACGCAGCTTAGAGAATTTTGGACTGGATGATTTCCCTTAATAATGCAGACGATCCTTGTTTGTTTTGAAGGTATGGCCTCACACCTGGGGGTCTGACATCATGTTGTGGATTCAAAGTTGGTATTATCCTAGGGTTTTGTGAAACAAGGATTTGATTTCAGACCCAGGTTGCTACCACAGTTTCCTTTCTGGAAGCGGTGCGGGACCACAGTGAGACGCGCAGTGCAGGTCTAGAATGATGTTCTTAATCCATATGATACAGCAGCAGAGCTGCTTTTATACAATACATTCATGGTAGACCCAATATATCTCAACATCTTTGTAAAATATATAGTTTTATATTTTATATCCAGAAACATCCAGAAACCTGGTCAAGTTTTTTGCTGTTTCCCTTTGGATGTTTTTGTGTCAGTCTTTGGGGGTGTCTTCGTGAAACAACGTGTCACTCTTCTTTCAAAAGCTAAAAGTGATGTTTCGCAACTTGATGGTTCCAACAAAATTGGACAACAGATGCAAGGGAACACACTGAAAAAGGGTGTTACACAGCGTCGCTACAGCATGAAGCCGCCCGATCACAGGGAACCCTTTGCTGACAGATTTATTTGACCGACCCCCCAAACGCATGTGCAGATTCAGCCAGGCAGACAAGGTCTAAGATCAAGTTATGTTAACATTGAGGCCAAAGGTCTAATATCATATTTGTTTTCGAAGATGGGTTATGTTGTAAAAACCTGAAGGTCTAACATCTTCCCAGCACGAAGGTCTATTATACTTCAGTAGGGACTGTAGACCTAGCTTAAAAAATTCCCTGAGCTACCGGCATTCCAGACCCTGACTAGTTGAGGGGATGATCATGGGCCAAAAACGACTGGTCCATAGTGTAGTATATTCTTTTAATCTTTATTGGTATTATTACCAGTAGTACCGCGTGGCGGTGGCGGGAGTTTCAAAAATAGGAACCCGATAGGAGAGGTTGGTTGTCGTGAACCACGGAGGGCAGAGCGAATCCACTGATGGACCGAAAGGTGGTTGGAGCCGTGTTTTTTGGAGTGGAGCGGTCACCTCACCACAACTGCTGGATGTAGTGTGGTGTAGTGCTGTTGTAGTTGTAGTTGTAGTTGTAGTTGTAGTTGTAGTTGTAGTGTAGCGTAGTAGAGTCGTAGTTGTAATGCAGTGTAATAATTAATTAGTGTAGCGCAGTTGCAGTTGTAGCTGTGGTGTGGGGTAATTAGCGTAGGGTAGCGTAGTGTACTGTAGCGTTGTGTACTGTAGTGTGGTAAAGTGTAGTGTAGTCTAGTGTAAAGTATTCGACCGTATTGGAGCTGTAGTTGTAGCGTAGTGTAATTAGTGTAGTCGTAGTGTAGGGGCAGTTGTAGTTGTAGTTGCAGTTGTGGTTGTAGTGTAACGTTGTGTAACTAGTGCAGTGTAGTTTTGTGTAATGTAATGTCGTTGTAGTTGTATTTGTAGCGTGCTGCAGTGTAAGTAGTGGAGTGTAATGTCTAGTGTAGCGTAGTGAAGTGTAGGGGCAGTTGTAGTTGTAGTTGCAGTTGTGGTTGTAGCGTAATGTAATGTAACTAGTGCAGTGTAGTTGTGTTATGTATAGTACCAGCACAAAATAAAACCACATCATTTCATGCATCATCATCCCACATCATTTCATCATCATCCATCATCACATAAATTCAAATCATAAAATTTCATCATAATATTTCATCATAAATGTCATCATCATAAAATAATATCATAATCTAAATCATCCATCTCTAACATTCCTATGTTTGTATCATAATTTTCCAAATATTATGATATGAAAAGCTATTGGGTTAACGTCTTTTAATTTTTTTTGGCGCAATGGTTTTCCAGATTTGTTTCAATTTTGCAATTCTGGCTTCATCATCTTTTAAGTATTCCTCCATCTCTTTTTGTTTGTTCTCTTCTTCCTTTTTGAATTTTTCCTTGTTGATGTGCCTGTCGGTTTTAAGGTGTTTGGACAACCTGCATTGTTTCACATTCCGCTGGCAAATGTCGCCTTTTGATTATAATATACTGTGTTACTCTCCTTTTGTTTGTCCAAGCATTCAATACACATTCTGATCATTCTATTCATTCCATTGAACTCGTCACCACTTTTATTTTTCTTACACTTTGTGGCTCCTCAAGATGTCTGCCGAGTCCACTGCCACTTCCTGGATACCAGATTGTATGCCATGGAATCTCGGGTCCTTGCAGAGCGATACAAAGATTGGTCTTGTGGCCATCTTGTCGACGCTTCGGATTGCCTCGGACATTCTCTCAGCGAAGTTCCCTTCAACCCACACATGATATGGGTGAGTGTCGGTGATGAGGAATGCAAACGGTATCCAGAAGTGGATCGTCACGTTCTCTTCCGATGCAACATCTGGCATCACGTTCCTCTTCAAGTGGCCGACTGCATCCAGAAACTTCTGAGCTCTGGTCACACTCTTGAAGCTATTGATGTCGATGACCGTAGCAGTGTAACCCATTTCATCGAGCCCGTACTGGATGTTGGTCGTTCCCCTCGCATTCGAGTTGCACTTGTAGACGAGGTCAGTGATCAAAATGGTCTTGCCAAACCTGAACTTCCCTGCCAACTCATCTTTCTCCTTGCGCACCATTTGCTTTTCCACAATGGTCCCACCGATGCCCGACTGCAGGCCTCGCCTCCACTTTCCGTAGTTGCGATCAGTGGCCTGCGCCTCATCGTTGAGGTTGATCATGACCGTCATGGATCCAACCGACAGGTAGTAGTTTTGGTGCAACATGCCCCCACGCTTCACGGCTGCGTTGTAGATCCTCAGCCAGTCCATGTCACTGAAGGTGTAGGATGTCTCGCCAATCTCTCTGGCGCTTGCAAGTCCAAAGCATAGGCAGGTGTACGTGGCCAATCTTCTAAGATACTGATGCCACGTCGACTGAACACTGTTCGCCATCGGTCCTAGGACATGCGACAATGCAAACTCATTCATGGTGTCCACATGAACATTCAAAATTGATCTCACCGATGTGCCCGTGTAGTCCGTCCACACCTTGCAGTATGTGGCCACATTCAGTGGCTTCAGCGGCGGGACAAACTCAGTCTGAGGCCTCGCCGGCATAGGCTTCGGCGCCGGCTTGGGTGCAGCTTGCGGTGGAGGTCCAGCTGAACTTGACGACTGTGACCCCGATGCACTCGATCGTGTTGGTGGTGGTGCCGTAGGAGAAGTCGGTCTTGCCTTCGGTGGTGGAGGCTGTGCTGGCGGATAAGGCTGTGGTGGAGCCTTAAATCCAGGCGGTGGTCCAGGAGGTGGTCTAGGACCAAACCTGCTGACCCTTGGTGCTGGCACAGTTGGATCCGGAATCGTAACCCAACCCGGAACTTGCTCTCTGGGGGGTTCCGGTGGCCAAACATTGTCACCAAACTTCAGCACTTTCTTCCATCCACTTGCAGCAACCTG